TCTAATTATTATATATGTGTATTTATATCCTGTATTTATATGGGAGTGTGTACAGAGGCTTGGAAACTAGAAAGAAGTCCATTAGACATGTCAAAGTAGGAAGGGAAATATTGGGGATAGAAAGTTTAAGCAGAGATGGAGGTCAGGGAATGGGGGAGAGGAAGAGAGAAGAAGACCAACACAAAAGTATGCATAAAAAAGCCTAAAGGAAACTGCTACTTTAGAAACTAACTAAAATTAATATTAAAAATTTAAAAAGGGTTGAATGGAGGTCCCCAGCATGGATGGATAAAGCTTCTCCCAGAAACCCAAGGTTAAGAAATGAAAGTGCCAGGGTAGGCTACCTCCTATGAGTCATTGGCTAGGGATGTTTTTAAGTAGCTAATGCTCCTGATCTCTGTTACCCACGAGAACTAGATGACAAGATCATGTTGCTGAAGATAGCACATGCTTTGGTTGCCCGACAGAGAGAAACCAAGCGGGAAATGAGTTGGAAGCCTCCTTCTTGCGGCCTAACTTCATGGTTACAGAAGGTACCACATAGGTGGCTGAGGAAGAAGACTGTTTGCAGTGGTTGTAATTCAGATGCGAACCATAAGTGAAGCACAGCCACCTTGAGGCAAAATGTGTCCACAGGTTGGCTATTTGGAGGACAACCAACTACTTTTGATTGGATTTGAAGCCCATTCCACAGGAAGGTATTCACGCCTGACACTGTAAAACTGGTCAAAAGGCCACATCTGAAGAGATCATAGGCCGATGTGAGGAGAACATTGTTGCTATCTGCTAAACAGACGTGCTGAACTGGTCAAAAGCCCATGTCTGATGAGATCACAGGCCTCTGTGAGGAAAACACTATTGTTATTTGCTAAAGATATGTGCCTGTCACATTGCCTACTAAATATTTATGTTCATATTCATAGATTAGTAATTAGCGATGGTTTCAACTTTGGTCAGAAAAGCTTCTTTTTTTTCCCCCAGTGGGTAGTGTTTTTATAGAGACTTATAACTGGTCAAAGTGCTGAGAATAAATTTTTAGACAAACGGGGACAACTGTATCATTCCCTCCAACACCCAAGGAACATCTCAGAAGATGGGGTAGAAAGAATCTAAGAGCCAGAGGAAGGAGTGGGGTAGGACTGTCTTCTGGGCAGGAAACTGAGACTTCACTTTTGAAATCTCAACAGCAGAGATTATCTACAAAAGACCTGCACAGGACTGGGTTCATCAACATTCTCTCATGAAGAGGGGCAGTACTCAGGAGGCCCCAACCCCTTTCTGTTTATTATTACTGTGGGAAGAGAGAGATTTTCTCCAGTGTCAGCCTCTGACAAACTGCCCAGGTTCCAAATACATAACCCCTGAGTCATGTTTCTAAAGGCAACTTTAACTAAACTCATTGGGCCACCCTCCTGCCTTAAAAAATATTGTAGTGGAAAAAGAACTAATTGGGAAGAGGAAGGGGATCATCAGGAGTAGGAGGAGGACAAGAGACAGTAACAGGAAATGGAATATGATCAAAATACCCTATACACATACGTGAAAATGTCATAACGAAACCTGCCTTATGTATAATTAATACATAAATACTTGACATCCATTGTCCTATATTAGTCTTTGCTTCCTTCTACTTTATGTTCATAGTGTGATTGAATGGTATAGAATTTGCCAAGAAAGGTTTATACAACATTAACAAGGAAGGAAGGCTACAGGTTTTCTGAACAGTTGACTTGATGGTTTATATACATCTCACTTCATTACAAATCACTATTCTTTACAGTTATTTATCCAATGAAGTTATCTATGGCCCCAGCTGTCCTGGAACTCACTATGTAGACCAGGTTGGTCTCAGTCTAACAGAGATTCCCCTGACTCTGCCTCCCCAGTACTTTAATTAAAGCTATGTACCACCAGGCCTGGCTCTATCAAAATTTATAATGTTTTGGAAGTTCTAGAGACTGGATCCAGGGCTTTGTGCATTTAGGAAAGCATTCTATCACTGAGCTACATTGCCAGCCATAGTCTTGCTACGGTACATTGTACCACAGGATGACCAAGAGTTTGTGATCATTCTGTTCTGCCTCTCAAGTTCCAAGACACTTACTTTTCCTTTACTTCAAAAGATACAGAGATAATTGGCTTAAACTTTTCTTTTTTTAAAAGAAATTAATGCAAACATACTAATGATGCAAGAAACACAGTTTTGGGAATAATGAGTCTTTAAACAGAGAAAACTTAAATATTGTTTAAAAGACAAGTGGTTATCTATTAGCTAATTGTTATTTAACAGGCATCATGGTAAGTCTGAGCTTAGAAAGTTAAACTCAAGGTACTTGCTCTTCTTCTGATATAGCTTAGTCAAAACAGAAATGTTATCGAGTATAGTGAGAGTATAGGAGCTAGAAAAACATTAACACAAATATAGAAGCAAGTATTAGTGCACAGAATTTACATAGAAGGTGATATGGGACCATAGACAAACATAAACCTATTTTAAAAGACAAAGTTGGGCAAATAAATATGATCAAGAGAAGAAAATAAAAAAGATGATGACAAATACTAAAACACATTTAAAACATCAAGATAAGTCCACTTGAAACTGATAAGCAGGCAGTAGCAAGAGACTGAAAATTTATACAGGAATGAAGACCAGGACAGAGGTTTTGGGAGTAAACAAAATGCAATGTGAATTCCAGGAACAGATTTTTATGTAAAAAGTTAATTTAGCCTTTGATGAAGTTGGGGACTAAATGGCAAATTACTGCAGTTGTACAAGGTATTGGCAAATTCAACTAAGATGGAGAAAGAGAAAAAGGTGGAGGAAGGTCCATAGCAGAATTACTCAGTAGAAAAATGTCACCAGAACATAATGGCAGATCGAAGTCATTTCAAATTTATGCATTTGTAGTTTGGTTTTTCATGAAACTTCCAAATGGAAATGTCACCAAAAAAGGCATATATACTTATCTACAGTTCTATGAGAAAAATCAGCCTGGGGGATAAATAAACATGTTGGTTTGATCATCACAGCCTTAAAAATGGAAACTGGAACTTTGGAAATATTTGAAAACAAGCTTGATAGCTATAGCTATTTTCGTCATCAAAAAAATTTAATACCCAACTCTATAAGTCCTAGGGCAAAATTTTGAGCTGAGAATCTAGAAAAATATTGGTGTTCTTACTAGCTTTCACATACAAATAAAAAAATGCATAATAAACATGACCTTTTCAAAGATGTATATATATATATATATATTTGTAAAATTAAAATAAACCTTTTTACTAAAATATGGACACCTTCTAGTTTTTAAGCTAATTAAGAAATACAATTTAAATGAAAGTTTAAGAAAAGAAGAACCCAGCATGGGTGGATAATGCTGCTCACAGAAGACACAGGTTATTAAATGAAAATCTCAGTGCCATTTCTGGGATACCTCCCTATGAGTTGTTGGTTAGGGAGACTTCAAAGATCCCTAAAACATCATAGGTTATTTCCACTGTTCTTAGTTACACCAAAGTGCTAGATGGTAAAACCTTATTGTTGCAGACAGTAACATACTGGTTACATGACACAGAGAAACCAAACTCTAAAGTTGAGCTGGAAACTTTCTTCCTGCTGGCCAGTGTTTATAGTGCCAGATGCAGCTATGCAGGTTGCTGGGGAGAAAAATATTACTCATCTATAAACACTGCTACATAGAAAAATGACCTTCCAGACAATAGTTGTCCACTGATACAATAGTGGCAAGACTATTATGGGAGTAATCAACTGCTTTCTGACTGAATATGAGACCCACTTATACAAGAAGTAACTCCTACCTGGTACTGTAAACATGGATAACAGCCTATGACTCAGAAGGTCATAGACCCTGGAAGCAAACCTATTACTGTTGCTTTCCTAAGTGGACACGGTGTCTAACTGCCTTCTAAATATATATGTTTATATCCATAAATTAGGGACTGAAGAGACAGCTCAGTGATTAAGAGCACTGGCTGTTCTTGCAGAAGACTCAGATTCGAATCCAGCATCCACATGTTGGCTAACAACCATCTGTAACTCCAGTTCCAGGAAATCTGACCTTTTCTGTCCTCTGTGGGCATTGTACAACACAGGTGTACTTAAATACATGCAGACAATACACTCATTCACACACATACACAAATAAAATTATATCCATAGATTAGTGCTTTTTGTACTGTGCTGTGGTTATGCAGAAAATCATAACTGGTCAGTGTCAAGAAATGACTGTTGAGTGCTTGACTCTAAATGGAACATCAATATCACTCCTTTCAGGACTCAGAGAACACTGTGAGACAGGAGACAGAAAAACTGTAAAAGTTGGATGATGGAGTGAAATTTTATGAAATGCTGTCTTCTAGGTAAGACATAGCTTTTGCCCTCATGAACTTACAGTAACTTCAGTTATCTGCATATGATCTGCACAAGACCTGCATAAGATGGGCCCATCACCATTTAGTGATGGATATGGGAGAAGATAATTAGGCCCAACCTCTCCCTGGATAACTACTGGCAGCTAATGGTTGCTGGGAAGTGGGAGGCCTTTTCTTCAGTGGTGTTACCACTGGTAAGAAGCCTATGATCTAGCAAATACTCCTCTACCCCAGCACATTCAATCACCTCTAGTTAATCTCAGTAGCTCACAACAGGTCTAATTTTAAAAGATAAAAGTAGGAGGGGGTTTGTCGGGAAGAGGGGGCCAGCAGGACTGGTTGTGGGAAGAGAGAGGGAAATGGGGGGTGAAAATGACCAAAACACATTATATGAAATTGTTAAAGAGTAAAAACTAAATTTAGAGGTTTAACAAACATGAGTTCTTCAAATATGATACTAAAGTATATTTGAAAAATACGCTAAAATGTTTTGAGTTGTTGCAGATGTTATGTTTACAAATAATACTATTGCAATTGTCTAATTTTTCCTAACAGACTTAAGAAAATCTAGATCAGACTCAGAAAATAAAGGTAAACTTTAAAATTACCCTTTCTCTGGGTGCACAGCTACAGATCTTGGTTGATCCAGGCCTTGGGAAATAATTACATAACGGAAAGAACCATTCAGTCTTGCAACTTCAATTAGGTTGAAACCATGATCTGTCCAGTATATGTTACCTAGAAGAAATACAGAAATGCTCATATTCCAGTTATGAGAAAGAAAGCTGTTTATTAGTTTTGCTAAAAATTAAATTTCTGAGTATGTACATAGCTATCAAAAATGTTTATTCCCTACATGCCTTTTTAATGTATTTACTTAAGAGCTGTAATTATTGTATAAAGACTTCTAATCTTAATCTCGTATTTTTCTGTTTTAAACCATGTTAGTGTACATTGATATGCTTAAAATAAGTTAAGGCTTCTCCCACCTGATGAAGGTATCTATTTTGCCTTTTAACTAATTTTAAGCAAAAGAAACTTCTACGACTTTTGCTTCCGTGCTATGCACTACTCTCTGGAGAACTAGGAAAGTTAATACTGCATGTTACATTTCTACGCAAAAACACTTATTCAAAGACTCAAAAGCATGAGAAAAAGTGAACCAAAAACAAAAGGGATTATTTACCCCCTTGGCTAGAAAGAGTAAAAATAATGTTAAAAATCAGAACTAGAATTTTTTTTGGAAGAAGAATGAAGCCCTGTAAAAATAGGTATGAAACAAAACCAAGAAAAATCCATAGATTTACCAGCAATCCAGTCAACTGCTATCCCTTCCACTCTTCCCAAGCCATTGGTAATGACATCTTCTTTCCATGTCTGATCTCTTTTAGCTCGACTGATTTTATTGAAGCCCATGTCTGTCCAGTAGATGGTGTCGTTTTCTATCAATAAAACACATGCCCACACACTATGAAGTGTATCAATACATGTATTAATCAGATTACAATCAGTGTTGGGTTTATCACCGTGGATGAAGCACAGAAGAGTCTCAGCATTCTTCAGAATAATTTATTAACGTAACAGTAGCAAGGGTATTTTAAAAGTAAGAGCCTAGGTTTTAGCAATTAAATTTCTAAAAGCATGTTTCTGGAAATTGATACTTTTTCTTTATTGTCCTCTTCATTTTAGCTCAGTAAATCTTGACTCTCATGAAATTATAAAGTTTGTACCATGCCGTGTTATTTTCTATCATAGTTTTTTTCTCTCTTCTATACCTGTGTCTGAGTCCTCTAAACATAAAACGAATCTGCTGAGGACAATCAACTCAAGGGAGTCTCAAAGCACAGAGACAATGGAAAAATACGTGAAACCATTTCATTTGTCGTAAGATCATTCAAAATGTATGAAGCCTTAAATACCTTATCACTGATTATTTCTTCTGAGGTACTAAGTAGCTCCTCAAATGTTAACCACAAAACCTTGTACTATATTTCAAGCTCTTATTGTGCAAATGGGTTTGCGAATACTTGAAAGATTGGTCTATGTTATCTTCAAGTCTTTAAATAACTATGCTTTTTGAATATTTGAATGAAAAATGTGCCTAAAGACTATAAAAGAAATACATTACATGTGTATGCATATGCATGAAGGGTAGTAATTATAGACCAATGATTTTATACATAGCTACCAGAAAGACACTGGGGACAAATCATTAAATAATAAATTTGCCACTCGCTATGTTTTTGTGTTGTGGCCTACATGGCCATTTGAAGAACAAATCCTTTAAGACCAATATAATTTACCCCTGGCACAATGACAAGCTATGGAAATAAAGAAAAGGCAATTAGTATAATAAAGCCATTTGTCAGTAAGTCCTGGGATTCCATCTCAAATGAAATATGGTCTAAATCCTTCAACCTGTGGAAAGAAAGATATCAAATAATGTTATTCTTAACAACAGCTAAGTCAGATACAGAGTAGTTTGAAGCCACAAGGAGGGTACCATATCTAAATAGATGTCAGGAAAGCAAGGCTTCTCTAATTTCCACTCTGTTCATATGCTTTTTCCTAATGAAACAAGGACTGTTGAACAAAATAGCATTACTTTTATAAATATTATTATACACTGAGTTCAATTTTCTGCCTCAAATATTAAACCAGTATTTCCAAACTGTTCACTTCGTTTTTCCACTGTCTGTAGAAAAGACAATCGTGATATACCAAATACAAATCATGGACTGTCTGTCTGGACCTGTTTCTCCTGCAGTCCCCCTCCAACCCCCACAGCTTCCACGAAGAAGATGAGCAGCACCTCCAGCCTTGGTCTTTTACCCAAACACCTCATGGTTGTCTTTGAACACTTTTATTCTCATATTCCACATCAAATTGCCAAATTAATTACCAAATTTGCTCATATTTAATCAATTTACAATAAATCTTGTTTTTTTTTAATTATTCTTCCGAGCAAAATCAACATTCCAATGCCTTTATATTGACATCCACAGCCCCAGCAACTCTCCCCTGAATTCTTCCTAACAGATGCACCAGGCTTGCACTTTGACTCCTGAACTTTCCTGTGCATGAACCTTTTTAACTTAGGAGCTATTAGGACACTTTTAAATATATATATAAGGGGGCCAGAGAGATGGCTTAGCAGTTAAGCGAACAGGCTGCTCTTTCGGAGGATCTGGGTTCAGTTCCCAGCTCCCACATGGCTGCTAACAACCATTCCTAACTCCATTTCCAGGGAAGCCAATACTTTCTTCTAATCTCCCTGAGCACTTCATGCTGTGGGTGTATTTACATACATGTAGGCAATATATTCATATTTTTATAAAATAAAAATTATAAAATATTTTAATATAAAATAAAATAAAATAAGATTGTTTCTGCCTCCTTTCCTTCACAACTTTCCACTTTCTATCTCATGACATTTGAGCTCTAGCCGTGATCATTACGACCACCCAGACCCTCTGCACCTCTCCTTCTGATAGCCTTCCTCTCTTCTACATTGTCCCTCCCTTGTCCATCTCTAGTAACACAGACATTCTTGCTCCTAAGTCAAACTAATTCTTTTTCAGTTCTAAGGTTCTTTGTATTTCTTTTTCTTTCTATCTGGAACATTTTTTCCTAGATGGCTGCACAGATCTGATTCAAGCTCAAACACCCGCTTCATAGTGGAACTTTCCTTGACTATAACAGTGATTCTCTTGCCGTGTTCTGTTCCTTGTCACTGAATCTTTTTCTTCCCTATATCATTCATCACTATTAAACACATTTATTCATCCTTTTTTGGTTCACGGTCATAATGAGTGGGCATTCACACCATTACATGACATGCGCCTCCCATAAACTTTGTATAACATTTACACATTACCCGTCTGACACAGAACAAAACAAAACAAAACAAAACATTGGTTGATTTGCTATATCTATCTCCTCTTACAGTAATGAATTTCTTTAAATGCTGGGATTTATTTTATTCACTCCTTTGCTCCTAGCACATAGCACAATGCCTAGCATGCCATAACTTGACAGAAAACATTTGATGAATAAAAGAGTGAATGAAATGCACTGTAATGAAATCGGTACGGATGTTGCACAAGGAAGACATACGTCTGATATGAGGAAGCTAATAGGCTTGTTAAGAAACAAAGCATGCACAGGAAGAAGTGACTGGCAGTTAATGAATATAAGAGGAGCAGCTGTAAGTTGCACAGGCACCTGTTAAGCAGGAAGTTAAAGAAGACAATCACAACAGTCTTCACAGTACATCACTACTCTCCAAGTGCTTTGCAAGTTCTGAAGATGTGTATTCAGTAACCTGGACACATTCCTTCCCATAGGTACCAGTATCTCTTATGGCACTGAACTGGACTTATGTCTGTGTATCTCTTCTTGGACTTACACTGAGATATTTTATGGTACGAACTGTACTGACAAGCTATATACACAGTTATACTGTACTAATGAGGTTATCTCTAACAGCAGACCTAGGGTCAGGCCTGCCAGATTCAGCATTGAGGGATCAGAGGCTTCTTTGTGTTCTTTAACTTAGAATTTGGGAGTCTGTTGAGTACATCAACTAACAGACAATGTGCTGAGAAGGATAAAGAAGAAGAAAGGAGAAAATCATTTACTAACACCCAAATCTACTTTCCTTAGTTTTTCACTTACTTATTATGCACATGCAAAAACATACTCTCAATAGGATGTTTGATAAGATATGAGATTATTTTCTCATATCATTGAATATCTATACAATAAACCTGAATTATATAAATGATTTTGATTAATATAAGAATGTTCATGTCTTTGCAACAAAAAATTATTTTAAAAAAACTAAACAATAGCAACAACAAAACAACAACTACTGCCACACTACAGTTTTCCAATATAAAAGGAAAAAATATTCAGGGGCTCCTGGGAGCACTGAACCAAGGAAGCACTTTTTAAAATACAAGTATGTCAACCCCAAACTGCAATTGGCTCTCACATGTTCATGTCTAGGGTGAAACCGACAAGTGCTTTGAAGACTCAAAATAATATTTCAAGTTTTGACCTGTAAAATATAAAAACTGGGACAAAGATCTCTTTTCCAGAGAAATCTCATCAGTTTTAAATACCAGCTATGCCATTGGGAAAAGATTTAAGGTAAACTCTATGTAATTTTTCAATTCACAAGTACAATAAAAGTCTGTTTCTCCTTTAAAAAAAAGAATTCAAATGAATCATGATAAAATGTTATAAACTCTAAAGACACAAAATAGATATAGATGGAAAACAAAGAAATAGTCATTAAAGTGTCTTCAAACTATCTCAAGTTTCAGAGTTTAAAACTTTAATTACTTTCATCTAATAGATACTGGGAGAATATGGAGAATTTGCTAGGAATTATTATAGACATAAGGATATGGTAGTGAATGCAACAGATACTGTCCTTGCAATTGTTGAATTTATGTTCTGTAATACAATTACAAAATAAATTATCTTTAAACATATTAATTTGGCAATAGTAAAAAATGGCAAGAGAAAAGGAAATATAACTTAAGGCATTAACAATTGAAACTATGTTCTCATAGATAAAATTGACATGTAGACTCCTTATAAGAATTCTTATGGATTACCAAGTAACATGATTGTTAGACAGTTATAGTGAATTTTAATTAAACAGAGAATTAAAGTCATGTATTGTCATAGTGATATTTGAAAATTAGAGAATTAAATGGTTTTTATTAGAAAGAAAAATATCATCTATATTCAGGCATTGAGGAACTAACAGGGAAATAAAAATCTCTTTCGGTGTTTTAACCTTTAAGTGTCTGTTTTCTTATCATTAGTTAACAAGTAATCATTGACCATCTCCTAAATATCTTGGTGTAAATGTACAACACATTCCAGAAAACAACATATACATGTGAAAACACATGAACTATAATACAATACATAATCATTTTTTTTTTCCTAATGAAATAGTCACGAAGCCACTTGGTGGACAGTAGAATAGACAAGAAGAAACTTCAGGCTTGGTTCTTAGCATTTCTGTGTCATAGGTTTCATGAACGACTTAATCAATTGACCTCAGTTTTCTCATGCATATATAAATAAGAATGTAAATACATATATCTATATTTATACATTCTCTGAGAAGATAAAATTTAGGTTTTTATCTCTATGTTATCTTCAAATTTCAATCATCTAATTTTAAGGTTTTGCTCAATTTCACACAAAGGAATGCATTATCCAAAAATACAGCCCAAGTTTAGCTGTTATAAAGACATTCTTTTTCTTTTTTTCTTTTTTTTTTTTTTTTTGCACTGTAATTTTTACTCCTCTTAAATAGGTTTGTTCTCTGGAGCTAAAATGGATAAAGCAAGTACATTTTACAGACTATGCTACTAGTGAATATTAGGTCACATTTCTTTGTAAACCACCTAAATTTACATTTATCCTATTAAATGTCAGCTTGTTAAATTTAATCATGGAGCCTGACTGTTGACATTTCACAAAAATAACATTACCTGAGGAATCCTATTAGTGATACCTCAAATTGGATAAGTTTTTTATAACTTTAGTGATAAACATGTTGAATTGTACTAAAGATATACTTTAGGCATACCAATGAGCACTTCTCTCTGAGGCATATTGTATCTTATATTTCACTATGCCTTAATAATTTATATTTATAGATATTTATGTTCATAAATTTAAGAGTATGTGTGGACTTTGAATACAGGAAGTACCTATGTAGCCACCCATAGGTGGCTGCCAAAAGCCATAGCCCTCCGTTGGAGCCCCTAAGTCAAGAGCATTCGCCTTCTCTAATGGCCTGTCACTATTCTAACTTCTATTGCCATAGAGCATTAAAAATTTTCCTTCCTGGGGTTGGAGAGTTGGCTCAGAGGTTAAGAGCACTGGCTACTCTTACAGAGGACCTGGGTTTGAATCCCAGCACCCACATGACAGCCAACTAGCACCATAACTCCAGTCCCAGTGGACCTGATGTCCTCTTCTGTCCTCCACAAGCACTACATGACATGAGTGCACTTACATACACGCAGGTAATACATGCATACACATAAAATAAAAATGATAAATAAAATATTTTAATAAAAATTCCCTCCTAATAATAAAATGAACTGTTTGACTTTATTTCTCTCACTCATTATAACTAGTAGAGTCATCCTTTCGTTGCTCGTATCTTGCTTTTCCATTGCTTGAAACTACCACAATATTTACCTGTTTTGAAGATGCAAGTTTAGATCAATTTCTGACTGTTATGAAGGCCTCCATGATCAGTACCCCCATGCCTCAGAATAAACATAGCACTGTCTTCTGTGAAGTATTTCCATACAGCAGATGAACACTATTAATAGAAGGAGTTGATTATACGTGTATATACATATATACACATATATGTGTATATATGTATGTATGTATCTTTATGAAACTTGAACTAGATTAAAAAAAAACCAAGGAATTATTTAAGGCTATCTTTATGTGATGAGCATTTAAGTTCATCAAAGTGTTCAACCAAATTTATAAATCCAAGTTATTTGTTTCAATCTATTTCATCTACTATACTGTCTATAGATTTCAAATGAAGTTCGTTATGCTAGTCTCAAGAGTACACATTAACTTGTGAGATACTCTACATATATATGATCAGTTTCTTGATAAATTTCAGGTGTGGTTTCTATAAGTTATTTTATCTGTGTCTGTGGAACTATTGGAGTGCCTGTCAGTTAATATACCCTTCATTTTTCACAAAGAAATCTAGTAGGATTTTGTCATTGTTGTTGGTTCTTTGACAATTTTGTGTATACTTAAAGAGTATGGTTATATAGAGACAAGATAAGCTCAAGGTACCAATGCTTAGATAGACCCTACTTTATTATTTTTTATTATTAACATCACATCAGAAAAAAGTAATATCTCTTGGTCTGCTATCCTCCAACCACCAAGTTTTACTAGGAATTTATTTTTCTTACAATGTCATATGGCCTTGTTCCAGAAAACTTTTCACTTTTATAGTTAGAAATACTCATAGTTTCAAGAATTTTTATTGTCATTCATTAGCAATGACCTTAACAGACAGGCCCAGAAATATAATTATTGCCACATTTATAACAGCTGCCTTAAGGCCGTGAAATTCATTAATTCTTCTGGCTTATCTAAGATAACAGCTTCCAATCTGTTTCTCATTTTAAGACTTTGACAGACATGACAGTTAATTCTAGTGCAAGCCCCCATTTCCTGCCCTTTCAAAAATCACCTTTTCTAATATAGTTCTGGAATACTCAGTGTAATATTATGTGCCTGTTCTCTGCAATTTTAACCTTGAAACAAGCCTTTAATATTAATCTAGTTTGGTCATAACACCAAACTGACACTGACATGCCACACATGCCACACATGCCACACACACCACACACACGCACATGACAGACAGAGAGACAGACAGACAGACAGACAGACACACACACACAGAGAGAGAGAGAGAGAGAGAGAGAGAGAGAGAGAGAGAAAGCCATTCATACAAACATGAAATATATATTCAAATTGAGTTCGTGGAAGCATGGTTCAGGGAGGCTTATTAAAACATAAAATTTCAAAACTAAAACTTCAGACTTCTCAGACCAATCTAGGCTGAGTCATCCTGCTCAAGTGACCAGTTATTGCACAGCATCCTCCATTATTGGCACCCAGCTCAGCATGGGCTCCAGGGAGAAACCTGGAGCCCATAGGAGAGTCAGAGGATGGAGAAGCAAAGAGGATGGTACCACAGAGCAAAAGAGCTTTTTAGTGATTTTCAAAGACTGACAAGCAACTGCTTTAGAAGAGGCACCTTGTTAGTTCAGTAAAACTTAGATGTGATGAAGAAACA